CCAACAGCACTTTATCCTACGGAAACGAAATGTAGTGATGTGCGACGTGTTCCATCTATCCTCAAATGTAACCGGCACTCTATGACTTCTTTCTGGTGCATAGGTGTCTGCCTGAAGTTTAAACGCTCCATACAGCTTCCGCCCAGGCATGAGCGATAGGAAACTACGATGTCCAGTCAGCCCAGGGATCTTTCGGTTAGTGGCTTATGCCTAATGGTAGACAAGAAAGGCTCGACAAAGTCCCGCCAACCTATGGTCCTACAGATTCAAAAATGAACCCACACTAGAGATTCCAAAAAAAAGCTCAGTCACACACAGTTTTCTGTTCTCACTGGGACTAGCCAGTTAGGCATGGACGAAGTCGACCTGACTTCAGGCTACCGAACGCAAGGCCGCAGGTTCGTCGAACAGTCTTAGGTGACCGGTTGCATGCTCAGCTCATTGGTGAGCATCACGCGAAGTACCAGTGGTTGGATCCGGCATGATCATTAAGTTGAACCAACAGAGTAATCGGCTTGGTGTAGTTATTCAGGTACGTGTACATGACAGACCGGTAAATTTTCCCGGCACCTTTTCCTTGTAAGCCAAACGCGCAACGGCACGAACTTACAAAGCTCTAAAAAATCGTCCAACTGTAACATCCTTTCGGTGCCTAGTTGCCATGCCACCCGAAGAAAGCAAGACGGCTGGGATACTGCCGGGCTGCCCAAGTCTTAACAGGGGAAGTTGGGAGACAGAGGTCGGGGTCGAACCACGAACCTTCCGGTCAGTAAATTCGCGCTCTAACCGCTTGGGCCATCTCACCCCTCCAATTTGAAGCTGACTAGTGATTATGTAAGCGCTCTAACCGGGTTGCATTGTGTCGGGACGCACCCAGACGTGGAAAAAGTACATGTACAGAGAGTGACGCATCCCCAAGGTCACCATCGGTACGACACGTTCAGAAAGCAGGTGCGTTGGCGGAGTTCACCAAACATGGCTTAGCAACATATGACCAGCGTAGTGGGCCTGAGATTGTTCACGACCGGAACATCGCCATTGGCTGTACGGAGCGAACAAGTGGACGACCATATTCGACCATTTAGTCATCCTATATATTACGCAGACGCTCCGTATGTTTTGTCCTGGAAATACAGCCGTGTCCCCAGTTACCTGTCTTCTCCCTATCGCGTAGTCTGGCAGACTCAAAGCAGGCGTAACCCATAGACGGCCACCCACGATACAATGCATTGACGAGTGCATAAATGCGAAACTGAAAACTTTATTTCACGAATTGACTGACTTGGATTCGGGAGTTGACAAACAAGCAAGTGTTCCATATATAATTCAATCATGGAGTACCTCAGCCGTAAAACCGTAAGGAATCTTGTCAATCAGCGAAGTACTCAAAGCCCTATGCCCTTCCTATCCCTGTCGGAGACTCGAGGAAACAGTTAGGTTGCCTCTGTAAGATGCTTCTCAATTTCGTACAGTTAGTTCCGGGCATCTCCCTATGAAGGTCATCCTTGAAGAGTGGGGAATGAGATTTCCCAACAAACGGAGCTTCGGTTTACTTTGCGTGGTCATGTGACTATTTGCCCTATGAAGGTCATCCTTGAAGAGTGGGGGATGAGATTTCCCAACAAACGGTGCGTGGTCATGTGACTATTTAGGTTCAGCTACTGATTTTACCTCAGCTCACTAAAAGGTATCGATTCTACGTGTTTATGAGGTATGAATAAACATAAGGTTTCTGTAAGGAGCGTTTTTCTGGCGGGTCTGGGCGAAAAACGGTTGACTGACGATATTCCCGATTCTTCACTTCTAGTAACCAGTCAGTCAGTTCTCAACTATAGAACGTGTAACCGCTGCTAAGATTTCGTTCATTGAGGATAAGGAGAACAGTGAAGTCAGAGCAATGCGTCGGAGCCGGTGGCCCAATCAGCTCGTTGCCCGACATGGCAGGAAGTGGGAAAGCTACAGTCAAGGCAATAACCCGAATGTGGGATAGACATATGAAGGTCATTATCCACTAGCTTATTTCGTACCGAGGTCATCGTCGGAGGAGAGAACAGCTGGTAATACGACTGAATTTACGTGTGGGGATTTACATACTTCGTCGCCAAGTACTGGACTTCTAGCAGCAGAATATCCATAGGCGGCAACTTGTAGTCTTTGTTTAACTTGTCTCAGTGTGGTCTCCAGTTGGTGAGATCACTTCGTTTGAGATTCTTATGACTGGAAACACTCCCGCCGAAATTGCAGAGTTACATGCATCTTATCCCGGTTAGTAATTGCTTACTGAATGTGGGTTTTTCTCAACAAAGGTACTTTTGTTAACTTCTCAGGGAGGTTTCGGAAACGTTTGATAATTTACTGGGCTCTCAGCACAGAACTGTTGGGTTTTAAACCGGTCTCACAAAACTTGGTTCATCTTGTTTCGACAATACTCCTCTTTCAGTGACTTTTACAGCGACCTAATCTAGTGGATCCCTATAGTTGTCTTAATTTACTAATCTGTTGTGAATTCGCTCGACTACTCCAACTTGCTTCAATCAAACTCATCCTTCCTTTCGCATGTTTCTACCAGCACCATCAAAATCATATTTTGATTGAACCAAATGTTCATCCGTCAAAGTCGGCTCACTTCGTTTGTGCTCCATCGGTTACCTCGTGCGCGCCAAAAGTTCGAGAATGTACGATGTTGGTCGTGAGTCCTTGGGAGGCGTTCGTTCCATCCGACAATGCCGTACCCGATCTAAAGGCAGGATAGGACGAAAACGATCGATCGAAGTACATGATGGCTACACTATGTCGTACTCCTAGCGAAGTACCTGACAAACTCAGTATACAGTAAACTGTATCCATCTAGACTACCAGGTAGTCGTGCAAGTTTACCTCTGGTGCGAACACCATTACTACCTCCGCTGCTGACTGGGTCAACAGAGATTGACTGACCCAGTGAAACATCTATCATACTGAACGTTACTTCTCCAAGGTCTTGTGTTACCAGGCTATTTTTCGTCAGCACCGCTTCATCGACTTGCCTTGCTCCGACAGACTTAGTTTCCAGCGATTCATTTCGTCAGTGGTTTGAACACTTGCTCACAGAATGGAGTAATACGGATTCTGCGCTTGACAATACGAGTGGTGATGTTTTGCCTTACGCCCTATCCATGTGATATCTAGCTGCGATATAAACGGTAAAATGTAGCACAACGGGTAGGTTCACGGCAACATAACTTAGAAGCATGGTGTAAGTCAAAAATACAGGCTATCTGGCGTGGCGAGATCACGCAGAGAACGAATCTGTCTACGCTTAAGCACATTTTATGCGAAAACCGCGAAATACCAAGAATACCGCAGTCAGGGTTGTTGAACAATGGGATGTTCAACAACACTGTGAACGTAGCAGCCAACCCTGTGGGTCTTCTGGACTCATGAGGCACCGATCCAATCCGCGAACTCAGCACAAATCTTCAGCTTTTGAACATCTATGGCTGACCGCTAAACCTGGCCCTGGTATCGATGTACACAGTTCACCGATTTGAGTGCAAACTACGTAGGACCGACATTACTTCCTGTGAAAACAAATTCGGATACCGGGCTAGTCTATATCGGCAGACATATGACAAATACCCACTTAGTGCTCCAGCAGTTCAGTTCAGTCCAGCTTTTCTGCTCACAGACTGTGTAATGAAGTGAAATAGTTGAAGGTGTTACAGCCTTGTTCACCGAGAATAAGAGCGATAAGGAAATGAGTCACGTCCTGGATGCCACGGCTCAGCGGCTCCTCAGTGACACTCTCATCTGGCCTCATCTCTGTGACCGTCATAGCCGCACTCCTATAAGAACACGAGATCGGGCCTCCTTCGTTGCTCTTCTTGTGCAGTCGTGTCATCTGGCTTCACGCAAACGTTTCACAGGATAGTAGCAAGACTTGCGCCTCCTACCTGGGTAGAGAAACAGGACAGCATCCGAATGCTGCCGCGGTCACGACAGATCTGCAAAACGACTCCTGGTGATTCTGCCAAGTCTCCAGGTTCTTGATAGGCCAAGCTCAACCAGAAACATGTAGTTGTGATGTCTTCGTCGATCAAAAAATCCGGCCATTTAAGCACACTTAAAAGCTGACCCTGGCCCCTAAAAACGATCCCGAGTAGAACTACGAGAAATCGGTTCATTGGTAGTCTCAAACAAGATTAAAAAATTCGCAAACACTAGGACCGAGTCGGTTGCCCTGAGTGCTTTTTTCAATGAAACGCAAATTGATTGGCCTACTATGATGCTATGAAAGTAGTACAGTTACGTACACTGGTTACAACTATCTTTCTGACTTTTGCTACTTCTGTTGTTGACCAAACCACACGGAATATCGTAAGATAAAAACTGTTCGTCTATGAGAGACAACAACGAAGCTGTTTATTTGCATGATAATTTGTACAATACCTGTAACATTAGAACCGCCTACCCTGTGACGAGTGGTGGTGAGAGCGTCACTGAAAGGAAGGGAGTATGGACAAGCGATACCTGAAGTACCATGCATGCGTTGCCCGAAAACCAGCCACCCATCCCCGGCTGCTGTATGAAATGAGAACACAAAACAAACATCGACCCGTCGAGAGGCTGTAGGGCAGCGATATGCTTGAAAGCGTGCAATAACTGAATTTCCCGAACGAATCCCTTGCGTTCTTTGGCAAAAATACCTCGCTCATACTTGTATAAGGACAGAGAAAACTGTCAGTCGGTGCAAATACGTGCATCCTCCAAATTGAATACATTAACTTCTTTGTCTATCGCGCGAATGCTGATACCGTAGAAATGAAAAAAACAATGGTGATAAAACAGAGGGGTTGGTCGTGCATAGGAAAACAACATCGATAAAAGAACATATGACAAATACCCACTTAGTGCTCCAGCAGTTCAGTTCAGTCCAGCTTTTCTGCTCACAGACTGTGTAATGAAGTGAAATAGTTGAAGGTGTTACAGCCTTGTTCACCGAGAATAAGAGCGATAAGGAAATGAGTCACGTCCTGGATGCCACGGCTCAGCGGCTCCTCAGTGACACTCTCATCTGGCCTCATCTCTGTGACCGTCATAGCCGCACTCCTATAAGAACACGAGATCGGGCCTCCTTCGTTGCTCTTCTTGTGCAGTCGTGTCATCTGGCTTCACGCTATGCAAACGTTTCACAGGATAGTAGCAAGACTTGCGCCTCCTACCTGGGTAGAGAAACAGGACAGCATCCGAATGCTGCCGCGGTCACGACAGATCTGCAAAACGACTCCTGGTGATTCTGCCAAGTCTCCAGGTTCTTGATAGGCCAAGCTCAACCAGAAACATGTAGTTGTGATGTCTTCGTCGATCAAAAAATCCGGCCATTTAAGCACACTTAAAAGCTGACCCTGGCCCCTAAAAACGATCCCGAGTAGAACTACGAGAAATCGGTTCATTGGTAGTCTCAAACAAGATTAAAAAATTCGCAAACACTAGGACCGAGTCGGTTGCCCTGAGTGCTTTTTTCAATGAAACGCAAATTGATTGGCCTACTATGATGCTATGAAAGTAGTACAGTTACGTACACTGGTTACAACTATCTTTCTGACTTTTGCTACTTCTGTTGTTGACCAAACCACACGGAATATCGTAAGATAAAAACTGTTCGTCTATGAGAGACAACAACGAAGCTGTTTATTTGCATGATAATTTGTACAATACCTGTAACATTAGAACCGCCTACCCTGTGACGAGTGGTGGTGAGAGCGTCACTGAAAGGAAGGGAGTATGGACAAGCGATACCTGAAGTACCATGCATGCGTTGCCCGAAAACCAGCCACCCATCCCCGGCTGCTGTATGAAATGAGAACACAAAACAAACATCGACCCGTCGAGAGGCTGTAGGGCAGCGATATGCTTGAAAGCGTGCAATAACTGAATTTCCCGAACGAATCCCTTGCGTTCTTTGGCAAAAATACCTCGCTCATACTTGTATAAGGACAGAGAAAACTGTCAGTCGGTGCAAATACGTGCATCCTCCAAATTGAATACATTAACTTCTTTGTCTATCGCGCGAATGCTGATACCGTAGAAATGAAAAAAACAATGGTGATAAAACAGAGGGGTTGGTCGTGCATAGGAAAACAACATCGATAAAAGAATATGGCATTGTACTGGTGGTTAAACAACGGTTGTTGAAGCCAACGTCCAGAAAGAGGTTGTAATCACAAAATCCCATAATGGCGCTCAGGATGTCAGCAAAAACAAGTGTAGGGAGGGATACGAAGTCAGTTTGCCGAAAAACAAGAAAGCAACGTCCGCGGAGGGGCAGGGACGGCTATTTGTGCACATGATTCTCGTGAGAGAGAGGTTTGTCTCTAAGTTTTCGCATCAAAAACAAACGTAAATCATACACATCATTACGTAACAACAGGAGGTCAATGGATCAGCAAGAATCTCAGGAAGAACGTCAGTTCACCAAATTCAAAAAGAGAACAGGAATGACTAATTCGAGGCTAGGGAGCATGTCGGGACGTGAACTGATACGGTAAGGTCGTTTAAACATGAGGGTAATTAAACAGCTAAACTGCTCAACGGCTGGGAAGTGGAACCAAAGGTTTCGGTCACATGTACCTGAGGCGCGCACACAGACACGCTGGTGACAAAGGGGAGGAAGGGTAGTGTATGGATCTTATATAACAAGTGCACATGATATGGAACTCATCACAAACACAGAAACTGAAAGGGAGCACTGTCGCCAAGATACTCACGTGCTCCAGTCTGGATAATGACGAGATCTGAGACAAAGGCTGGACAACTATGCGTTTCAATGCATATTTAGTATTCTGGAATGGTCACGAGGGACGAGATATGAGTAGTGAACCGAATCCTCTGTCGCCGTTCATGCCGGAGAGTAGATGGCACGACAAAAATGGCGCTGTCTTTGAAGGCGCTTGGAGTGATGCCAGGAAATACGAAAGACAAGGTAACCCTGGGGGCTCCCGCAGTCTGGCACTTGTTGCATTTTTTTTGCAGACAGACGAGGGATGTTAATTCAACGCTGTTACCTCATCACCCAATCTCGTCTGATAGTACTCCGTTGGTCGTGGAACTGTCCTCTTCAACTATTGAGATTTTAGGCAATGAAGAATGCTCCTGTACAGATGATTCTGCGTCCATCGCCGAAACGGGTGATTCCTTCGCCATCTGTTGTTGCTGTTGTTCTTTCTGTAGTTTATCCAACACGCATGAGGATGACTCGATTAATCCGGTTGCTGAATCAGTACTAAGCTGATCTGGAGACATCCGGCTGAGTGGAACGGGATCCGTTGGCTTTTGTATCGGGTCGGTAGTTGTTGTGGTTGTTATAGTCGCGGCTACCGATGTCTTGATACCGGTTAATGGGAAGCTGCTCACTTGAAAAGGTAATTGAGTAAGAATCGGTGACGTTCCGACCAGAGGTTGTTCACTCTGGAGCAGGAACGGGATAACTTGCGCGATGGAAACGGATCCAAGAAGACCTAGGAAGAGATAGAAAAGAAACTGTAATTTATTTCCGTAGGACGAGGGCACGAAATAAATCAGTATCAACACTTGCTCGGAAGGTAGCAGTGAGAAAATTAGTCCGCTACCCAATCAGTGCAAGCTGCCTTTTAGGGAACGAATACAGCTGATCGGAACGTGAAAAATAAACTCTACGAGCACAAGAGCGTTCGTATGAATCTGCAGAAAAGCGACGACTCGGAGACACAAATGTCTAATATTTTGTCGATCAGTGTTTAGGGCTGAAGAAAATGGATCTAGCGCACATCCCTATCTTGAGATCCCCATCCAGAGAAACGGCAGTTGACAACACGACTGAGTTTACTAGTTCGAAGTTTCACACAATACTTCAAGGCTATCGTCTGACTGACTGTACTGGAAACGTATCCATTTGATTCGCTTGTGAACACAGAGCTCTCATACTGCGAAATAAGTAGTCTTATGAGCGCGACCCATGAAGAATGACTAATTTGCTCATTGGAGGCAGGCAGCTTCTCCAGAAAACCGTCCGGCGCGCCTCACTAGTAATGATCGGATGACCCCACTGCAGAATACTGCGGAGACACTGTTGGGCAAAGTCTAGAAGTTTCCTACCACCTACTGGCCTCACTCATGTTGAATTTTCAGAAAAAAGTACAGACTACGCAAGCAGGATGCGAATGAGTAGCAAAATTGTCCGGGGATTTGAACCGATATATTGCCGCTCACTGAAGGCCTATTACAACCGAACCCAGCAACACAGTGTGAAAGTCACACCAAAGTTGTACTCTATACGCTTCGGCCGATCCCTCATACCGCCTTCTCATCATATCGCCCAAATGCATCTTTCATGTAAGATCATTGCATTGTATGAGAACGGACGCAAACAGCTAGTTTGTGCCAAGAAACCTATCAGATCTACTGATTCTTCGAGTTGCCACATGGGTGGAGCTCGAACACCCAGACCCACTGCTCAACTAAGTCGATGGGCATCGACTATTCTGATTAAATGTCTAGCACGTCGTATTGACTTTACTGGGTCTACTGCTCCTGGCCCATCTTTCCTTAACTCATTTACTAAAATTTGGGTGAACATCGCTTTACCGTCCATCTGGATATCTTCTATTAAATGGAACCGCTAGGTATCGGGTTGCCTCCTCCTCTTGCTGACATCCACCTATTGTTCATGCCTGACTAGTGTACAAGTGCGCTAAACTGCCCACTGCGAGCGGACTGGGTAGCTAGTTCTGACAGATGAACGTGCAATGGCACTTCGCTGTCACACGGTCCTCGGAGTGAAAAGCGCGCGCCATCTGACAATGTCGAAGCCATGTATACCTAACCTGACGAGATGGCCCAAGCGGTTAGAGCGCGAATTTACTGATCGGAACGTCCGTGGTTCGAATCCGACCTCTGCCTCTCGACTTCCCCTGTCTAGGCTTGGGCAACCTGACAGTATCCCAGCCCTCGTGCTTCCTCCGGGTGGCATGGCAGTTAGGCGCCGAAAGGGTGCTACAGCTGAAAGAACCTGACGAGTGCTCCATCTGCGCAATATTGCGGTGTAAGCATCTGGTTCACAAGTCAGTACGTACAGTAGTCGCAAATTGTACGTTCTTTTTTAACGAACCCCAAGTGAACAAGTAACCTGAGTTAAAACGATTGATTTGCACCTGTTTCGTTAGGCCACACCAACTGTAAGTTAAACGTACATCTTGACTGACGTGATAGGACCGAGGACTTTCAGTGGAGAAGTCAAACATGGCACCTTACACTCTAGTGTAGAGTACAGAGTCACTCATGCCACGTCAAATAGCTGAACACTAGAAGGATAGACGACGCAGATCAATTTAATGGAAGATCTGTTTACCTTCGAAAGTATACACAAAACTAATCAACGTGAAACAAAAAAGGGCACAAGAGTATAAAACAACCTTTCATGAAAAATGACAAAAGACCATTTGTTGATAATACCCGGTTTCGAACTTGAAAATCATAAAATAGAAACATTTTCTGCTTGTGATCAGTGTCTACGAATAAATTTACGAGACGTCTGGAATGTCCTCCAATATAACTAGCAGGAAAAAAGAAAACGGATATGCGAAAAAATATGGTGCAAAAAAACGAAATCACCGTTTAGCGAAATGCACTCATTTGCAAACTAATTTGGTTTTTCGAGAGGCTCAACTGTAACCCAGCTGAGTCTCCCGTTTGTGATGTTTCCAGGCAACTGAATGTGCTGCACCAGGCCGCCTCATGTTTCAGTCGCTACGATGTTCGAGATATCGCGATACATGTATATTTGTAATGCGCTACTCATAAGATTGCTGAAAATTCGTCGACAGCCCACGACCGGTTTCGCCCTTCTTGGGGCTCATCAGGTAGGTGCAGTCCCCGAGTTTCCGTCAACCTCATGTTCCACTTGAAACCAAACTGCACAAAATTAGCGAAATACACTCAGTTGCAAACCAATTTGTTTTTTTTGCAAAAACTCTTGTAATTTGGAATTATTGGATGTCGCAAGAAGAGATGAACACGCACGAAGTTTAACAGAGTACGTTACAAGCGAACAACGGTACTTTCAAGAAATCGGCTTCCAACTTCTGCAGTAAGAAGTAAACCCGCAGATGTCGAAATTTTCAAGATGTTTGACAAATTTTGAGGTTTTACGTGCTTACGCTGTCAACAGCGCCCTAAAACGCTGCACAGAAGTCAACGAAACTTAGCGTCTAGGGTTGTCTATCATCGAATGCTGGAGACCATCATAATCTAGCAGCCGATTGTGGTTCATTATCTTGATTGCGTCATTCTCACGTCAACTATCTCAAACCTATTACCAAACGCACCCCTGTGTGTGCGTGAACGGATCAATAGTGCGTAGTTTATCATCCAATCACAAAATGCTTTGCATCTGTAATGAATAATCGTACTTCAGCAGCAGTGCGTTCTCTCCATTCAACATTCATTGGACAGCTTCCTTCTAAGGTGGTCATGTTCCATTTTGTACGCTGTCCACTCTTAACAGTGAGTTGAACGATGCTACTCCATAGCAAGCAGCCAGCACAATCCCATTCAGACAGAATTGCCTAAGCCAATGCTTTTCTCAATGCACACAGTGAACATTTTGTGACGTGTCATCCACTCAATCAATTCCTCCCGCATCGTAACACTTTCAGATCCATAAACTCACATACACGATGTAGGTCAAAGTGACTCAGGAGCATTCAACAGACACGGTTCGTGTGGCCAATTAAGCGGTCCGACTGTGGATCACTCCATGGCATTGTTGTGGATAGACGGAGGTTAAGTGGCTTGTGATAGATAGCACAATCAGTACGTACTTATTTATATCTCAAAGACGAATTTGAGCGAGTAGCTGTCTTCAAGAACTTCTACCAATTGGCCCACCAAACCGAGGCTTTTATTTTATCGACAAAGTTGAAACTATTTTGAGGTCGTCATTCTCCTTCCAAACTGCAAAGTCCAAGATACAAAGTCATTCCAGTAGCTCGGCTGACGCATTTGGCAAGTCGATAATTTCGTTTTTACTTGGTGTATTGGAAATACCTGAGTCACAGCGAAAAAATGAAGTTTACCAAAGCTGGTGAATTTAAGTAGCTCAGCTATCAAAGCTGTGCACACACTCTGTGAGCAACTGCATTTAGCGACGAGTATTCGAGCTTTGAATTTCCTAAGTTAAAGGGGTACAGAAAAGGTGAAACAGCGGCTTAATTTAATGGATATTTGCGCACTATGTTTACCCAACAGATAATCTCGAATTTGTTAACATCCCTCGCATTCCCAGTAGAGCATTCCATCGCTTCGGCTTTCAAAAGTGCTATGCATTTGAAAAGACCACTTTGTCCCGAACTCGCAGGTTTCAAAGTTGGGTTTTCCAGCAAAAGGTTGGACTGGAATAAGACCAGAAATTTTCGACCCTACTACTCCCCACAATGAATCACATGATAGGCGAATGCTATCTAGCGTAGTGACTGGTGATGATCAGGCTACGGAGAACTAGGATGTATGAATGCGAAGTTTAAATTCATTGACTATTTTCGGTGTGCGTTCGTGGGACCGAGTGAGCTTGAAAACTGAATTACCTGATGAATCCGGAACATAGCGAAACTACGTGAAGATGAGTCAGGTTCTTGAAGGTCACGCAGGCTCCGCGCAAACCGACTAGAGTCTACTGACTATGCCCAGGAGTCGAGCGGCTGGACAACTTCGAATATCGACCATTCCCCCGTACAATAGAAAATACTTCGATACGTTAAAATATTGGTCCATACGAGAGAAGTACATTTCAAATGGACTCAAACCAATATGGTAGATTTCTACAAAACGCAACCATCTGGCTTGAAAGACAATCGGTTGGCAAATAAAATCAAGGCTTTGGTGGACACCTTTGGTCGAGCCCTATAGGCTGTCTTCACGGGGGGTGGTCACTGTATTTCGAAATCAGCTGGCACTGGAACAGGAAACTAGTTGCACACGCTGCGGCCAGTGCCTAGACATCCATAGCGAAAAAAACTGCTCACTTGAGAAAAACGCCTCCTCCAAATCTTTCGGATCCAAATATCGCAGAGTAGACAGAAGCTGAGTGAGCACCAGACCGCGTTGTACCATGGTTTTGGTAGGGCTGTCACCGGAATCTGTCCTGTCTTTTCCGCTTGTCTGAACTGTGAGAAATTCCGCAAACTCGCTAAGTACACGTGACTCAAGTTCGGCGACTTGCTGGGCCAATTTGATATCTCTCAAACCGAGACATAAGTGACCTTGAATAAAGTGGAAAGGAAACAAAGACATCAAGCTTAGCAACGAACATATACCGGCATGGATCGGGCTTCTTAGTAGCAAAGGAGACATCTTCAGTCTGCCTAATTCAGATAGATCTTGATAGCTGCCTCATCCTGACTACTAGTTCGAACTTATAACCAACACACATGATAAACTAGTTGAATAGCTAAGGGCCACATCTGTGTGCCAATAAAAGGGCTGATACTTCCAAGGAAAGTACAAAAACCACAGCATCACGGCCATCCTTTTAATTTAGGAAAGCCACGCGGCGGTAAAGTCGAATGTACAGGACGTGAGAATTCTCGTCCTGTAAACTGAATAGCCAAGTCATTCAGAACGCAGACGGTAAAAAGTGGCTTGCAGCTGAAGTCATGCCGAAGGTAGACAAACGTCCGTTTACAAACGTGTATACAATGGGCCTAGGCAGTGAAGGGTTTTCTGCTGATTACGGCTAATGTTCTTCAGCCCACTGGAGAGGGAGGGTGAACCCGCAATCATACAGTGCACGGCGGTCTATTTCATTATTCATGGTGAATGTAAGTGAAGATACAGTAATGTGTGAATCTATCCAGATAAAAACGCACGCCAGCATCAACTAGCTTTCTTCACGCGTCGGGCTAGCCGTTTTTTGGCCACTATGAGGATTCCAAAAAGAGATTGCGTGGTTCGATCTAAAGATGCATTTTCACAGTGCAATAGCGTTCAGGACTCTCTGGAAATGTTCTCTTCCAAAAAACCAAACACCCATGGGAAGAGCTTTGGATGGCGACGTTGTCTATGCTTATAGGTTTGCCTATCCAGAGAGACGTAGTGTGATGTGGCCGTCCGAATGATGCCTTCCAATCAAAGGCTCACGAAGCCTCGTGGGTTCCTTGCAGAAAATAATGCTACCGGTGACAATATGCCTATTGGGTCTAGTGCACCAGGTGGACGCAATCATCTGAAAATATTTGAGCCAAATTATTTCACCTTAAGGTTCGAAATGAGCGTCACCCCCCGAGCTTATCACTTGTTAAGCTGTTCTTGTTATGGACCGTGTATATGGTAAAACTCGGTTGATAAGCTCCACGATAGAAACCGTGCGTTAGGGGAAAAAGTCTTACCTGAACCTAGAACGACCATGCAGCGTAGATAGCTGTATTCATCCGCACTTATGTTGGCCTCAACGAACTGAACTAGTAACCGATCAACCAGCTCGACCACGGCGGATGACGGTGAAGGTGCCTTTGATGGTCTCACGGCATCCGATGAATGAAAGGTATCTGGTGGATCCGCTGAAGAGTCCAACAACTTGGCATCACCGGAAATTCCGTTGAGTTCTGACTTCCCTGTCGTGGTGATAGGCTGGCAGAGTTCTGTAAGGCACAAATTCACCAATGGGCTATTAGACTGGAGTTCGTATAAGCTATAGATTATCCAGAAATGCAATGGATGAACACCTCTTTCGTTGGCACGAATTTTAGACGACCTATGGTGAATTGTCAAGTCGGAATACGACATATTAAGAGGAAATGCAAATTTGCCATCGGAATTACTCACAAACTGGCCTTCAACCTGCACCTTGCCCCAGAACCCCAACACTCGGGGAGATTTACCTCGACTTCCCATGAGGTTGCGCTATGGGTTCCCAAGTATCTCATCAATGGTCTGTTACCTTGTGGTCCTGTAGGCCAAGTTATTCACACTGACCATCTACAGCTGACAAGCTTTAGCTCAAGTGAATCTGACCATACAATGTGCCGACGTACCAATCGCTCGGTGATGCGAGCAGCTCCTGCTAGATTGTTTTTGTTTATACTACTGACATTTGATAGTAGCATAGCGATCAAATAGTTTTGCATCCCCAGCCGTTCAAGTGGCGCCCCATCGGCGTGCCACTCCACTGGGACTGAGTGCACTCGTTTTATGCAAACACCGTTAACTGATAATACATACGTAATTTGTAATGTTTCGAAAAAGAAGACTAACTAAACCTAATACGTTTGCACTTCTTTACACAACTGTTTTCAGCAAACTAAAGGAATATGCTGCCCGACCTCATCAGTAAATGCCACGTGCTTTTATGCGTGTTTGGCATAAAGTGAATGCTCCTCACGACAGGGTAGTTGGTTAAACCCTTCAGAACAGGTTATAACAATGAACTCGAAGTATTGAAGGGTCTTCTGTCTCGCACCATCCGTTTCACCAATTCACGTGCTGGACGCAAACCATCCCAAAGGCGCCTGAGTCACAAAAGTGGTGGCGGTCGAACTCAATCGTATTGGCAGCTATTACCTGGACTGATTATTCGAAAACGAGATATCGTTGTGCATGAGAACCTGGTGACTGAGGCAGACCTTCATCCAACCGAAATCTAGCCCACAAAAGTGAATGCAAAACTACAACTGAGCGATATATGAGGCACACCTTAGTTTGTCCCTCAGCTGAAAGCCAGTAAATGAACCACCGCTGTAAGCAGAGAGGAGGATTACGAAAACTGGAAGCGTGCGAGTTACGAATAGCTAGAACATAATTACAATCAGAATCCTGTCAGGTGATGTTAAGAATTGTTACTCAAAAAGTGATCTTCACTATTTTCAAAAAAATTTGGAAAACTAATAAGTTGACGGAGGGAAAATTGGACGTTTCAGTCTACCATCAAGAAATCAAGCGGCGTTGGAGCTCCATGGTAGGAAAACGTACTTTTCTGTGGGGAACAATCCGCCTCCGGTTTGAGGACGATAGCGGGTGAGGAAATAGAGTGGTTCGACGCTGCTTTCGAATCCGGCGGATCATCTTTCTCCAATTGCTTGAGCTGTTGAAACGTCTGACACAGACCAAGGACGAATAAATCGGACCAAGAGACGGCCACCAGATCACGCTGCGCCCAGATACTGTGTGTAACAGCGGGGATGAAGATGATAAAGAATTAGCTATCGGCTTAGCGTAAGACTCGGGTGGTCCACACCACAATATATAAACGAGGACAGGCAGAAAACGCCAACCTGTCCGGCTATGGAACCGATTCTGTGCATAGTCGCCGTGCCACCATTGGGGTTTCCCCGCGTGGGTTCGGATCCCATCCCCGTCGCCAATTATAGTAACGGTATTTTCCTCAGCTTAGTTCTCGGTCTGAGCCTCCCAAGCTAGCGTTCACGTCAAAACAACCACCAAAGGTGCACAAGGTCTATTAACACCCAAAACGAAGTCAAGAACAGTTGTACAGCGCTTCGTATATATAGCGTAAGCGGTTATAACTTTCTGCAATTTCCGACGCGTCCTGGATGCGCCATTGGCAACCGGCATCTGGCCAATACTGGGTCATGATTGGCTGTTGGGTCAAGATTGTTGACCAATCAGATCTCGTCTTGATGCCGGACCGGCAAGCGTCCTGAATTCTGGGCCAACCTCGAGCGGGCCAGGCTTCTCGGCCGTAGCAGCGCCTAAAGACGTGCGGTATAGTGGGATCCGCGTGGATTCCTGCCAAACACACCTTAAGAATGCATGAAGACTGATGCATTGACAGATTAGCCGAGCCCAGACAGAACAAATCAAAATGTGAGCGGCAGGTTCAAGCTGAGTATCTCTGAGTCATGAACTCATGCCCTAGCCCTTAAACACCTCAACCATCTATCCGGTAGTGACCTCACTGCAAGTTGGCATGAATCTTTGATTTTGTCGCAGTGCTCTAGTTTGAAAGGTGCTCTTACTGTCTACACTAGAAAAAAGGAGTTCGAGATTCGCCCTCACAAAAGCCCATATACTCGCCCGGACCATTAGCCGAACTTCGGTCATTGATATGCGAGGCGAGTGTTCCTCCACAGCATGTTAATGTCCCCTCAAATCATCGCATCTGAACAGGTAGATATGTTTGATGGATGCGCATATTATGAATTACTGTGGAGGGACACGCTCTCTATGAACGGAAAAGCAAAGCTTCGAGCCGTACAAAGTGAACTAGAAAAATAGGGTTAACTTCAATGAAAAATGACACTTTCGTCAAATAGAACTTACGGTAATCGTTTCAAGCATTTGAAGCGGCTCAACCAATCGACTGTGAGGAACAGGACACGTGACGCCAATTCATTCGACACGCTAGCACTAGATGTACGTGTTGATCGGCTGAGGTTGCAAGTGCGGATAACGTCAGGAGTGAGCTCGAACACGGAGTTCATAGCTGAATGGCAAACAATGGGCCCATCAAATGAAGTAACTGCACTTGGCTCCGGAGATTCAACTCGGGATTGCGTACCAGGATTGGGGCGGTTATCCACGCCGGGCGGATACAGGGATTGGTCGATGCCATCGGCATCACCATTTTGTTCCTCCCATCGTGGTCGACGAGGGGATCCAGTGAGTTCTGGTGAAGATACACCTGCTTTTCGTTTGCGCAACCGCGTCATTGGTGGCTCATCAAGCCTCTCCACCGTCTTATTTGGATTGGAGATGGGTACACAACTGCCCACATTGAGGCCTGGAGAGAAAGTGGAGAACGACAACACCTTGAGCAAACTAACGCATACCCAAAGTTAAGTGGAGCTATCGTAAACAGGCTAGTAGATGTATCTCGTGTAACGGAAACGGTATGAAAACCGTTAGAAGATTCAGAGAACTCGCTAACTTCTGAAGTGCGGATCAACCACGTAACCCTATTGCTAGTACAGACCAAAGTACCGAATTCAAGCCCAATGCGATGGGTACTATGTGAAAAAAAACATGCAATGAAATCGCATAAAAATATTGAAAAATATTGAAAATATTCACTGAAGTGGAGGACCTACGATAGTGTTCCACCGGCGAGCGTAGGAAATGACACAGACTAGTTGATTACAGCCGAATCGATCGGTCCTTAATCAATAAGTTTATAGTCGGTCTCATTAAATCACGAAGAGTACCATAATTTTAGCAGATCCGTCCTGCAGACGGAATCAACCTATGCTTAAAAGACGAAAAGCAACCTGCATCGTTTACATCCTTGTCGGGAACCATCGGCAGTGCATGTTCGGCGATGCCCTGGGGATTAGCTGGGTTCCGGTTGGAACACTATGGCACAGATAGCTAATCAGCAGTGTGATTAACATGCACCTAAACAGAATATCGTCATTCAGCTGTAACACCCTTGCGGTGTCTAGCTGCCATGCCACTCGGAGTTTGCACGAGGGCTGGGATATTGCCAGGTTGCCCAAACCTAGACAGAAGTCGAGAGGTAGAGGTCGGGTTCGAACCGCGGACCTTTCGGTCAGTAACTCCGCGCTCTAACCACTCGGATCATCTTTTAGTGATACGGTTCGTGTCACGTGTCTCCCTTGGAAGGACATCAAAAAAGGTAGACCCGGGGGACCTGCGGGATTTTCTCCATTCCCAATCAGATTGCTCATAATTTGTGGGTCGATCCGAGTGGTCCTACACAATTAACCACTGAGGGTATTCAAAAAATGAACTGAATTCCCATCTAACTGGATCAAAGGGGTTAACCATGGCAGAGTAGAAGTCCACGAATGCAATAAAGGCACAAAAATTGGGAGTATATACCTCCAAAACGAGCCAACTATCCGCAACCGATCAATGCGTCGCTGTTAGGGGTTCAACACAGATTTGAAAATGACGGGATTCCATCATAAAAACACTAACAACCCCTATACACCGCGCAAAGCGAGAAGTGAGATATGTGAGAGGACTCGTTTCTATGGGCATGACACTCACCTGTAGACAATGGTCTTTCAGGTCGCGCGCTTTCCGTAACAGTCAGGTTTGGAGGAGTGCCCCCAGATAAGCGCCTCCCGAGCAGATTTAGTAGATTGGTTGCTCTGTTGGGTGGTGCGGGAGGAACAGAGGAAACAACCGGTGAAACGGTTGGCGCAGCTGTCAAAGTGACGGACATTGGAGAACTGAAGGTCAGCTTCGGCTCCAATGTCGTAGGGACGACGGGTGCTAATTTCAATTGGTTTCCAGGTGTGGTCAAACTCAGAGTTGCAGTACCACTGCCGTTCACGCCCATCATCATGGCTATCAATGCTTCTAACGTATCGGCCTGACCACTACGACCGAGCTGACTTGTCTGTAAAGGTGGTGCTGCAGGTTGTGTTTGTTGTGAAGGAGCTTGCGACGGTGTGGAAATAGCAGCCGTCGCTTGACGTGATGGGACCACACTGGTATCACCACTCAATAAGTTCGAATTATCACCAGACCCAGATGCGAGACGTTCCAACAGATGAGTAAACGTTGCTCTGGCTGGATTGATAGGAGGTTGTTGTGGTGTTGTTGCCGCAGTGTTGTTCAGTGACTCGGCTGTCGTCATTAACCAGTAGGTGTACAACGCGGCCAGACTGCGGTCTTGTGAGGGAAGGGTAATTGTTGACGCGGTATCCTTACCAACCACAGCGTTCAGTGCGGCCTTTGTTAACTCAGTTAGCTCAATGTTTGATGGAATGGTCAGCTTGTCCAGTGTGTCTGCTACGGATGGCGTCTTGTTGATAAGCGCAGGGTCCTTAAACGCAATAGAAGATTGAACAATACAGTCAACACCGGAAAGAAAACAAGACAGATATTTTTGCTGTCTAACACGTCGCTGGTCCCAAGAATAAAAGAGTTGTTAGCAGCTATAACTGATGGTGTATTTGCCATTCACAACAACAGCGTCACCGGAGTGAAACCAACAAACACTGGCTCTTCTGAAAACGCTGAGTCTTCGGCATCTCATTCTCCAACAATCACTCATTCAGATAACTAAATCGGACTGGTAACAACAAGGCTTCTGTTATTGAGACCGCTAATAGAGTTGCAACCTTTTTTAGCAGAACAACACTCCTGCACATGCCTTTTTCAGCTACGGTAAGGCATTCTGAAATGAAGATACTCGTCTGAGGAAGCTCCCTCTCTCCAGGCGGATTACTATGTATGGTCGAGTATCTTAACTAAGAGCTAGCCGGCAAGTATGCATCGGTACCGAGTACTCACTTGCTGATAATGCTATCGCACCGACCAAATGATACACAGAATGGACCAGAATGATTTCCAGAAAGGCTTCCTAGTTCGGTGTTCCAGTTGACCAGCCGATCTGCCCGCCTAAAAGCTGATCAGGTCTGTGACCCGAGCAACTAACCCCGACCCCGTAGAGTAGTTGTTCAGTCCAAACTTCAGTGCTACCGCCAAGACAGCAAAAAATGCAAATGATCGAACAGTTTGGTCACAACCATTGGCAAGTTTATACCTGTTGTTCTGCTGTTAACCTTATGGCACAGCGAGAGAAATTAGCGACCGAGACATCGTGCTCTTATTGATTGATTCGTATGGGCTGAACCGTCACCAACACCATACGGTTGAACGTGTTGTCTGTTGCCTGTGTGCACGTCGAAACAAGTCCAACTCCAAATGAACCCACACACATGAAAGATCAAACAAAAAGCTCACTAGCAAGCTTAGGCGACTAACCAACGTAATCAACTCTGAGGGAGGGAGGGAGAGAGAGAGAGAGAGAGGAACCACATGCTCTGGTGATCTACGCAGACAGACACACAGACAGACGCACGTTGTAACCAACGTACATTCAGTGACACACTAACACACGCATGTACGCAAGCTAACACAGACCGTCGTACCAAACACGTACCCGTGTTTTGCAAGTCAAACCAGAGATCGGGGATGAATAGGTCGCACGTCTGAGAGGCGAAATCGACCGCTGCATATCCATCCCAGATAGATTCGAAAGTGATCGGGTTAAGTCGGACAAAGATTGACTGAGTTCAAGGCCTCGAGAATTGGTCAGACCGGATGGGGAGTTATCCTGCCTAGGTGTAGTTGTGAGGAGCTCGTTTTTGGGTCCGGATAATGGAAGTCGGGAGAGAAGACATGCTTGGGTGCCATCCAACGAGGAAGGGGTGAAGGAAATGGACGGGAACTGGTCGGCAGAAAATGTAAGGAGGGGTTGGGTTGTGCTCATCTGCGGGGAAGTCAACGTCACCAGATGAGTTAGGCCTGTAGCATCATTGTTTGTGCTGAAAGTCAGGGGATTCATCACACTCACTGCAGGTGTGGATTGGTGGAACTGGTCATCTACGTGCGGTTGAGGCTCGCCTGAATACATATGAGGAGCGGTATGTGACCCGTTCGTATGCGATGACCCTACAGGCGAGTTCTCGTACGTCTGGCTATCGTCCGACGCCGATCTCGGATTATTCAACTCGGACGGATGGCTCAAAAATTCCCCACCCTCTCCGTCCATCGACGGTTCCAGCTTGATAGCTTGAGTCTGTAACTGTGAAGACTCAGAGGAAGGTCGAGGTAATAACAGTCGAGTTCGACTGGGTGTATCCATTACCGACATGTTCGGGGAACTTGGTCCCCCGCCACCGAATTCGTAGGCGGTGGACGGTCGACGTTCATTCTGTACCGCCTCGGAACGCATACCCACAAGAAGACACTTCTGTAGGCGACAATACTGGCATCGATTACGGTAGGCCTTATTCACCAGGCAATTTTGATCACTCCTACACACATAGCTGACATGTCCACGAATGGAACGTTTGAAAAAACCCTTGCAACCCTCACAGGAGACAACTCCATAGTGTCGACCTGAACGGAACGGTAAGAGAGGGGATCAGACGGCATGTTTGTAATAATAAACGAGAGAGCAAGGTTAACAGACAGGGTTATTTATTAGGCTGTAAAGTATCGGATACCGTTCCAAAAACAAAACGACCGAGTCCTTCCCAAACTAAAACAAGGTCAACGAAGACCATCACGCAATTGATACAGCCGAAAGAGGCGAAGACATCGGTAACAATATATGGGTGATAAAAGCAACCACACCGTTGAGTATTTTGTAAGTGTTTGAGTGCGATGTACATTTTAGTCCTAGGTGCTCAAGCAGCTTAGGAGTATGCGAAGCTTTCCACGAAACAAACAGAGGCGTTTATTTACGAATGGTACTCTATTCACCACATCGTCCCCGATATTCCTGGCGGATACTGATCCTCTCGATGATACAAGGTATCGTTTAATTGAGTTTATCCTCACTCATCTACAGGCTTATGTACTCTAGAAAAAAAAATTGATCTCCTAGCCAGAGGGAGATTAAAAAAAAACAAAAAATTGATCTCCTAGCCAGAGGAGAGATGAAAACTAAGAGATGGAAACAGAAAAATACAAACTCCGTTGACTTGAGATAGTGCAACAAGAAGCGAACGGGTCCTATAGAGAAGAGAAGTCTGAGTAATCCCCATCGCAAAGAGATAATGAAACCCTGGATGTAAATGAACTAACTTAAGCGGTCAACACGAAAACACAGCACTCACCTGAGGCCTTATCACCGCATACTCGACAAGGTTCCCAAGAATGTCCTTCGCCGGCCACGCTTGCCACAGCATCTGTCTTACCGGTCATCCCCTCTAGCTTGTTAGAGCTATTCGATGTAGTTAGTGAGGTATTCGGCGACCGTGAGTGCTCGTTCGAAGTGGTGACCTCGTTCGACAGAAGGATACAGGGCGTCGAAGACGGCGTTGAGCAAGTACCAAAAGACACAGAAATATTAGGAGTTTGAGAGATGGTAGTTGAGTTAGCGCTCATGGGTGATGGAGATATTCTAGATGGACGAGCAAATGTGGAGCGCGTGGAAACCGTATTGGATACAGCTGGGATGATGGTCGACACACTTGGATTGAGCGTTTGAGATAGAGTCTCAGAACGAAACTGATTGGGGCCGCAGATTATTCGACAGTCTGAAAAACTGGTAGGTAACACGGATCCAGTGGATGGGTCATTTGAAGAACCAGATATGGTAAATTGTTTTTGTTGAACTGCAGAACTGGATGTCGCATCCAACAATTGCTTGATTAGCAAGCTCTGAAGCGCCATGGATAGACTGTCATCGGAAGACGGGACCGAGGTAGTTGTATTATCTGACGCGGAATTCTGAAATAAAAAAGTCATGTATAAACTAACTGGCTAGGTCGGTTAAGGTCGAACTTCAGTAGGGTTGACTTCATACCACATCACTAAAATATGGTCGCTAGAGGTCGGTGGTACACGAGACGTGCCATGTGACGTGCCATATCGAAATTATGTACGATACCATAATTCCAAGTATCAATCTCAGCCGACTGGTGGTCTACGGCTGAGTAGCACTAGTATTCGCCAAATACTTGGCTAACCAGGGATATCTCCGAACTGATTTCATTCAGATACTGGTTCTCAACCTATACGGTAGAGTCCCGGATATACTGTTCAGATGAATCTCCGTGGAATAGTGCTAGATAGCTCGTAATGCGTCAAAAACGTATGAAGTTATTAAATGGTTATTATCGTACGGTTTGACGCGGTATCTTGTCTATCCCGTGTTGGAATGATTGAACACAAAAATGAGGATGAAATCCGCAAAAACGGATGAACAAGTACCATAAACAAAGGTTCCGATCATTAGTTTCCTTAATCCATAACCAATTACTTGTGGGTTATGGGTACCTATCGGTTATTACAGTATTCGTAACGCTGTCTGAGTAGATCATCTCTGCTAGGCTGCCGGAAAACACTGGTACTGTGGAACAATGACGGTAAGATGCAACCAGGAAGTGTGGTTATTCCGAGACCGGAGAGTTGGCGCAGTTTATGTTCAACAGAGTAAAGGGTGGAGTTGTGTGTGTGCGTGTGCGTGTGTGTGTGACACATGACGTGAAACCTAGAATGTGCAGTATTCCACACTGACCTATCTGTTCCAGCATGCCACCATTAAGTAAAGACGCACAAACCGAAACGAGATCACTTACGCTACGTACGCACGTACGTTCACAAGTCAACCAAGAAGGTCACAATCATCCGAAGTTGCTACCACAACGGACTGTCAGGTGATCCAGTGAAACGCTTCCTACTGGATGCCATACTAACCGTATTTTATTTCATCAGCTCCAGGGTTAAGTCAGATCTCAATAATGAGTACATTGAGTGGGTAATCCAGTAGTTGAAGCGTCTATCGAGCGTGCTCACGTGATCATCTCTCGCATACGGTTGAATACCTAAATATGTTACTTAGTTTCGAACGCATTTGAATGAATGTGCCAGGAAGTTTTGGTGACATTTCCTTAGAAAGTGGGCTCCTGTCTTGCCAAGGGCGTATAGTGAACAAACCTGACTCAAAAGTTGTGAAATCAACTCGGTCGATAAACTGCCTGTGGTTGTGCCGGTCGAGTTGTTCGTGGTGGTGGCTGTGGAGCTTGATAGTTGTGCCAACGCCTCCAAATTCAGTGTGGCCGCTTGCGACGATGAATCACTGCTCACCGGTATCATGGTTACTGGAATACCGGCACAGTTTGCAAACGGAATCGGTAGTTTGCGGATGTTGTTACCGCTGCTATTGTTCAGCCGGGACAACTGCTGGTAGGCCGAGACCATATTCAAATTTTCTAACAATTGACCACGAACATTTGAACTTGCCGCCAGCGCAGCCACATTGGCGGCGGTCGAATCTTGCTCGTTTGATACAGTGCTATTCTGAGGGACTAGCGTTTCCAAAGCTTGTCTCAAGTAAACTGTGGGCAAGGCATTGTTGGTGCTGGTATTGCCGCTGCCTGTGCTGCCGCTGTTGTTGTTGTTGTTGTTGTTGTTGTTGTTGTTGCCACTCAGACTGTCCAAACCGGTTGTGAGTAGATCCAGGCCGCTTGTTCCATTGCTCATCGAAGTGGGACGCAATTGGGACAATGGTGCACCAGACAGAAGGGATATTAGCGTGTTAGAATCCAGGGAAAATGTATCCTTCTTCGACTCTGGTCGCTGAGTGTTCTAGACAGAAATGACAGGGGATGCGGATAAAATTAAAAACAAAAAATAAACTAAAAAATAATGAAAAGTATCAAGACTTCCGAGCCGAACTCGGCACGGATCTTATCATGTGGTTCTGTGTGGTTCATTATATGGAAAGTCTAAGGTTAAAAATTCCCATATTAAAAACAAGTAAATAAGTTTAACAAAAATGGGATCATAGATAATTGTTAGATGAGCAATTCAAGTTAAAGTGGCTGAAGAACCAGGGAAATGTGGAACTAAGCGACCCAATAGAGAAGCGATTTCCTCTGTTATGAAAGGACAAACATAGTGAGCAAAACCTGATCAACTGCACCGAAAAGGGACGTGCAGATGTCTACAGACATGACATTTCGCCATATGAGGCGATCCCAAACGGTGTTCGGTATACAACCAGGTGTCCTGGGTGTTGGGTCGCACGCAGTGAGTTTGTTGTCAACTCCTGAAGCAAATCAAAACTAGACGGAGACACTCGTTTCGGTCTCACTTTCATCCGCTAATGATGAATTAGATCTTCGAAAATAAAAAGGGAAAGTGAGCCATCCTGTGAGCAGACAAAAGCAGTAAACTAGAGGTGTGGACCACACTCTCCACGGGAGTCACAATTCAGCGATCACGTCAGATGCAAATGCGAAACAAACCTCATATGGAATTTTATGAATTTGTAGAAACCGGTTAGAACATCGGTGCTCGAATTAATAACAGGTTTGCAATACGCTGCAGCTTATCGCTGAAGGGACGTCAAGAACTCTCATTTCGCTCATTTCGCTTTACCGAACTTTCCTGACATGTTTTTGCGCTTGTTGTCGTTCAGACTCCGATAGACCACCCTCTATCCTGTGACTAACATAATTGTGCGTAACATCAGTTCAGGTTTGACGCTCTGCTTCGCCAGCCGACCAAAGAAATTCAATAAAGAGTTCAAGGCTGTTTTGTAAAGGCCAACAACCCAGAGGTCACCACCTCCGCTAAAAGTGCATCTAATTATTAGTTTTCCGTCTGAACTTAAAACAACGCTACACGGCTACCGTGTGATAACTGAGTCATCCTTCTTGCGGCGCGAAAAATTGCGCTTCTGGTCAAACTAAAGGTAGGTTACTAGCTTTCTTTCTGATGACTGCATCTTTCAAGAAATCAAACGAAGGCGACGACAATCAAATCATCAGGTAAAATGAAGAAATCACCAGAATTAAAAAAAAAACAAGCATGCGTCCGCTGAGAGTTTGCCAGGCTTACAGCGACACTTCATTCACTACGTTATTGTCTGATAGTCCTAACTTAAACGGCAATTGACTCATTCCGGGTGATAGTAAAGGAGTTTCTCAAACCAGATGAAATCCAAACACTCAGCTGCGACATCACTTCTCACCAGATTTGCCATTTCATGTCACCCGGAAGGAACACAACCGCCTAGGTTCAGGTCTGGAATGAATCTAACTAGCCTTGAAATAAAGAGCCCACAAGGTCTTAAGTTTTCAACTGATTATGAGAGAATGAAGATCCCCAGAATCGGTGCCTCCCTACATAGAACAACGATAAAATTTTGGTCACAAACGTACTACAACCGCAAGGATGACAACGTGTCAGCTGACCCCGATACTTCCCACTAGGACTCCCCTAGGACATCTATGACAGTCTCCACACTTGATAGACGTCTTGCCTGAGGGGAGCTACCTTTCTTCTATGAGGCCAAACGACTCCGTTCACGATAGTCGCCTCCCTCCGGAGAGATGCAATATAGTCAGGTAGGCACGTAATGCAGGTAGGATAGACCAATCATATTTCTCGAAACAAATACAACTTTTCAGCTCTCATTCAGGTCGGTAGGAAGGGCCACAAATCTAAAATATATGTCCACATTACTTTGTCAGTGAGCCTCATGAGGCTGTGAGGATAGTAATGGCTGTTAAACCCGCACAAGGCAGCTACAGACAATGTTCAAAGAGCCACTCCCTACCGCATAGTATTAATGGTAGAAGAATCGTACAGTTAGCTGAGTTGTATCGATATAGTCGGGCTTCAGTCCATTCCCCTACTTTTCAGAAGGCCGGGATTTCCGTATACGTGGAACCACGTAGTGCTGTGAACGTCACGTTAAGGTTTCCTCTAATCATCATTGTCACTGATTTCAAAGATAACCTCCACAACCCAGTGAACCAGCTATTTAAGCGCCTCCAAATGCGTTCCTTCCAACACGTTAGGTGTGACCCAACTCAGACTCAAAAACTATATTGGCACTTATAACATTTGGGAGGTCTGTGAACATCCAAGTCAAGCGGAGTCGTACGAAAGACGTGAAACTGTTTCGACCAGACTGCTAATTTGGTAACCCACTCACCCCCCATCCTTAGCGTGGACTTGAAAACTGGCAATGAAACAAAGCGTTTTCTTCTCACCACCAAGTGCACCAGCCAAACTTGTATCTGTCTGTGCAGGTATGTGCAAGTGCACCTTTGAGGTCCTCATATTGATTGGGTGTGTCAAATCTTTTTTTTCTAGAAATCAAGATAGCACGCATCACCCACTTCTCCATCTAGCCTCCACGTTAGATTGGAAACGTGGGAGGAGCATGAGTGGTCGCAAATGGAGTAATGCTGTCTGGTATGGACAAACTGCCAGCGGATCAAGTGTGATATACCCTCCTTATCTTATTATTTTTTTTCAGCTCAACGACGGTTAAAATGATTAGCATGCAGTGTGCCGCTGCTTTCTCGTGACATCTTCGCACTGCGGTTTTTCAGCCTTCTGGTGGTATATCTTCCCTTGAAGAGTTGCTGAAACTTGATACCAATAGCGTGTCAAGTACATCTGATGTTTGGATATCGCTTCAGTTGTATAAGCTGAACAGGATAATAGTACCTCGTCCGCCAGCACACAGTGATGCCCATTGAAGTTGTACCCATTTTGGGATAGTACACCTACAGACTTCCTTTGGAATCCTACAAAATCGTTCAGCTGTGGCACCCTTTCGGGACCTAACCACCATGCCATCCGAAGGGAGCATGAGAGCTGGGATACTGCCAGGTTGCCCAAGCCTAGACAGGGAGAGTCGAGATACAGAGTCGGGTTCGAACCACGGACCTTCCGGGTCAGTAAATTCGCGCTCTGAGCCATCTTGTCCGCTTCAGCATTCTAACCAAATTTTATTGTCCTTCCCATGTGCAGCTCTCCAGTTCAGATGCTCCACGTATCCAACGATCTTCCCGAGTCTTGTCGGTTCTAATACTTAAAAATGGTGGGCTTTCCGGATGCAGCTTTTCTTCGAGTTTGGGTCAGTATTTTGAGTAAATTATGTTCAACCGCGCAAACTTGTATGCTATTCCCGGTAGCAGTTTGCGGTGGCATTGGGACAACGAGGTTCAACTTAATCAATAGTGTGTACACTGGATAGGTCAAGCTCTACAAAGTTAAGAACAAAATCTTCAGGACATCACCAATTTCCTCCCAGTCCCAGATTTCCTCAGAGATACCTGCGCGCAATGCTTCTCAACGAGTGAGCTTGAACGACCACCCCTTTTGTGTATATTCAATAGGTCCCCGCTCAAAACAGTTCAGCGGCAATGGCGCGAAACTACCTACCGGGAGATCCATGGTTCGAACTCAGCCTAGCCTTGTGATTGCTGTTCTCTATGATTAAGAAACTTGGCGCCAACTCAGCACCATAACATGCGCAAGCTATGAACCGACCGAATCTCTTCATTTCTTCCATTTTCATTAGCATGGACAGCAATAAACCGGCAATTGAAACTGCCACATAACGATGGGGGAAGAAGAGGAAGAGGAAGAGTTAGGAATTTTTGAAAAAGCCCCATGTCAATAGAGGAAACTACCAAGAGTGAGATGCCTAAATCTTCGAAACCATTGAAATAAGTACATCTTAGCACCATGTAAGAGCAAGCAAGGTTGACCAAACTGCTTTTGCGAAATTCACCCAAAACAGGCTAGACATACAAGGACAGCCAAGCGTTAGCTACATACTCAGGCTAAGAATCGGCTGCAAGCCCGCCGCGCGTAGTAAAACACTCGCTCCTGTATTCGGAGCTCTGTTTTAGCTCGGTAATAGTCGCGCATTCGCGCAACTCCTACTGAACATTACGTCTGACATGGTGACAGTTCCAGTGAGTCCTCGAAATATTGAAATCTAGGATATCAACTCCTGCGCTAGAAACACCGAGGCTTACCACTTCTTGGTCGGTGTGATTTCCCCGTTCCTGATGGTAAAACTGGACCGATGAAATGTTGCCACTAAACCTGTTCCTCCCATAATTGGACTAATGCTATTCCTTGCATATTCACAAGCTGAACTGGAAGACGTTGGTTAGGCGAAGTGTAGTAGTCACTGATGGTATGAGGATTTAGTTTGTGAAGCCAGAGGTGGCTGATAAGCTATTCTCCCGAAGCTTCGTGTGCTGTCATACAGTTCTTTGTGATCTGTGGCTTAGGCGTAGAGTGAAAGGTGTTCCAGAAAGATCATTGAACGGGCTGAGTCTTAGTCATGAGGAACCAAAATGGTCAATGAAAGCTGATGGCAAGACTCCACGTGCATGTGGCGACTATCGCAGTACGCTTAATCCACAGCTTATTAAGCGGAGCCTTGCAAAAGCCAACTTGAAGACGTAGTAAGCAAACCGAATCAATCAAAGATAGACCTAAAGGATGTGTCGCCGGATTCCAAATAACGGTGCTTCTAATGTTCTGATTACCATTAACAGTCCGTTCGGCTGTTATTTAAACTTTCCCCCTCCTAGGTCATTTTACGGTAGGTTATGATTATGACTAACCATGAATCAAAAGGTGTTGAGGCATATCAAGATGATGCGACTGTTCATGCCGGTACTAAACGTGAACACGATCAACGACTCTTTAGCATACTTAATCGTCGTTGTCAGTTCTGAAAAGTTCTTATTTTCCCATACCAACTTCGACTACTTCGGCAATGTTTTAGATAACTGTGGACACAGTCCGAATTT